GAGGCCCCACCAGAGATCAAAGGCCCAGGAAGGAACAGAGGGTCTGGGGCTGCCCTTTCACCCACGGAGCTATTCAGTGCCTGACCTGGCAAGTCCAACCTCTACCACCAACCATCTCCTCCAGGACTTTGGGGAGGGGGGGTGGCGGGGAGGGGGAGTGTCCCCTCAGGCCCCGAGCCTCTGGCCCAGGAGGATTCCTGAGGTCTAAACCTTGGTCTATATTCAGACTGCCCCTCTGCTGCACGCTTGGTCTAGACGGCACCCAATCTGATTCTCAGAGTGGCCACCAGCCTCCTAAGTCATCTTCATCAGGCACAAGGACAGGGGGCCTGGCAGGCAAGGTGGGCCCTGTCCAGACAGTCCGCATGATTGGTAGGCAGCGAGTCTGGCACAGGGGGTCAACACCAGCAAGCAGAGCATCTTCCAGAGCAAGGCAGTCACAGACACAAGCATCCCCCAGAGTATAACCAGCATCCCAGGCAGAATGAATTTCTTGCGGCTTTCCTAACCCAGTGCTCCCCACACCCTGAGGAACGGGCTGCTGAAAGCTGGTCCTTACTCTTGGGGGTAACGTGCCTCCCCAGAGCTCCCTTTACCCAGCCCCATCGCAGGAGTCAGAGACCAGAGGAGCCACTGCCTCAGCCATAGACCGGTTCATCTGAGAATTGTGTCCGGGAGCTACATTCATTCCCCAGATAACCCTCAAGGCAAATGTTTCGGGAGGAGCATCCCAGAATGTCTCAATGAAACAGGTCGCGCTGCAAGCCCCTGTCTGACCATGCTCGGCTGCAGTTTTTCTATAGAAGCCCAAAAACACCAGACAGGAACACTGATGGTTAGGGAGGTAGAAACCCCACCACCTGCGCGCCCCCATCGTCATTCACTGTGAGCCCCCTACAGGCATGAGACAGATCCATTCTCCCTGCGAGCACTTACTGAGCACTGCTGTGTGCTACAGTATTCAAGCCACGTAGCCTATACAAAGGCCGCTGGTCACTAGTGACTTTCAGACCCTTGAAGTGTAACTAGAACAACTGAGGAAACAAATTGTTCGTTTCATTTATTTATTGGTTTATTTGTTCATCGATTTTTTTTTATGTAGGGCCACACCCACTGGTGCTCAGAGGCTACTCCGGGCTCTGTGCTCAGGAGAGTCCCCTAGCGGTCCTGGAGGGACCCAAATGGATGTCAGCCACATGAAATGCAAGTGCCTTAGCCGTTGTATTATCTCTCTACCTTTGTTTTTGATTAATTTAAATCAAAATTAGAAGCAGTGAAAATATATTCCTCTCCACCCTGAGCCTGAGAAAGAATACAGTGGGTAGGGCATTTTCCTTACATGTGGCCAAATCAGGTTTGATCCCTATCACCCCATATGGTCCCCCAAGTCCCACCAGGAACAACTCCTGCGTATAGAGCCAGAAATAAACCTTGCGTACCGCTAGGTATGGTCCCCAAACAAAATAAAATAAAAATACATGTTTACCGTCATTAAAATGCCACTTCCAGCCCAGAGAAAGAGAACTCCAAAGGCTAGTGCCTGTAGAGTTGATCCCAGGGTTCCCAAGGAAAGACCCCAGTCTTGGGAGTAGCATTTGAGCACTGTCAGGTGCAGCCCCCAAAATCAGTCTATCAATTAACCAGATGACATTTCCCGTGAGGAACCCACCCAAGTTGTGGAGGTCAAAACTGGTCCCTCCCTGCCTTGTTCTCCCCTCCAGGCACATAGCCCTCACAATGCCCAGGCAATAAGGAGCCTTTACCTGGCCAGTCTTGGCCACCAACCTTCTGGGCTTCAGAGGGCAACTCCTTGTCCTGTCCCGTGTCCTGCCCACAGCAGCAGCTGTGTTCAGACTGGAGACAGCTGTGGCCCAGGGCTGAAGGGTGCCCCGCTGCCCTCTGAGAAGTGGAGTAAGGAACTCAGCCATTTTCCTTTGACCTTCTGCCTCTGGTCCCTGACTCTGCTCGCAGGCTGCTGAGATCTCCAGGGAAAGCAAATGCCAAGGCCTGCAGTCTTCAAGGGCCAAGCCTTCCGGCATCCTTCAACCTCCAAGTCTCCCCAGGGACTGGTGCTTTACTTCCTCACCACACTCTCTACAGCATGGAATCTGCCGGCCATGTCCTTCTGCTGTCCTGGGCTGGACCCCAAAGTCACTGGGTAAGTGGTAGTGTTGACAAATTCTGCCCGCAGCTCTGCCCAGTCACAGACAGCAGACCGACAGCAAACAGCTGGACAAGATAGCACGGAAAGGAGCCCTCATGGACTCAGGGTGGGGGCAGGCCACTCTGGCTGTGTGGTTCCACCAACAGCACCAAACTCCCTAGGCATGTGGTATTCTCTCTCCTACAAAATAGGTGGGCAAAAAGGCAGGTGGGGGCAGCGTTTGCCTCTTCACCTGCCCTAAAGCCCATGCAAGGATCCAGAGAGAGTCAGTGGAAGGATGGCCAAGGGTAGTTTTGAGCACTCCACAGTAATCGTCCAGACAGTTGGAGAACATGAGCAAGGCACTCTGCCTGACTCTCTGCTTTGCCGCGTGGACTCAGGGAGGCAAGGCCTGTGGGGAGGTCAGCTTTGAAGGTAAGACCAATAAAACCCCTGTCCCTTAGCCTCCGGTCCTCAGACTGGAGCACTTCCCAAGTCTTTCTGGGAGTCAGAAAGCTTAGCAGTAAAGAACTTCCCTGGCATGTATGAGGTTCTGATTTCTACCCCCAATTATATAATAATAACAACAGCAACAACACTAATAAATTTCACAACTAGAAGGTTCTCAAAGATCAAACAATCCTCCATCTAGCTCCAAATACTTTTCCTTTTTGGGTACCAGGGTTGAAACCCAGGGCCCACACATAATATACTAGGAAAATGCCACTTATGAACATTTCTGGCCCCTAAGTCTTAATTTCACATACCGCTAATGACTGGGTACTCACTACCTCCTGATGCAGTGCTGGTCTGCCCGAGATCACTCTTATTTACAGTTTTTTTTTTCCTTATACTGAGCTAAAGTAGCTACATCTGCCACATCCTGGGTTTGAAGTCCACAACAGACAAATTCGTCTTGCCCCCACCCCCAAGGTCAGTCTGTCACATATTTTGTTGTTGTTGTTTTTGTTTTCAATTTATTTTTTGGGGGGGTGCTACGTCTGGCAGTGCTCAGAGGCAGCTCCCAACTCTGTGCTCTGAGGTCACTCCCCGAGACCATGCAGTGCCGGGGACCAGATGCAGAACTACACACACACACACACACACACACACACACACACACACACACACACACACAGCCCAGCTGCCCACAATTAGTTAAGGCAATAATCCAGACCTGCTCCTTCTTCTCTTCTTTGTGCCCAAATGTCCCTCGAGGCATTCTCTAGGAGCTGAGCTAGCCAGACCCCTGTTCATGCAGGTTATACCTGTCTGGACACACTTTGGCTGGTCATTGTCCCTCTGAAAGGTCAATGCCCCAGATGAGCCCCAATCCTTGAGCGAAGCTCTGGCCAGTCCGAAGGAACCTACACTGCCCTGCTCTTCCTCTCAAGAGGCTGACCAGTGGCCGTGGACCAGAGGCTGAGAACAGACTCCACACCTCTCCTGAAGGCAGCAGGTCTCTGTTCGCTGGCCAGTATCAAAGTAAAATAAATAAATAAATAAAAATTTTTAAAAAGTTAAATTCCCTTTCTCCAAAACCCTCTCTGAATACTTCTCCAGGAGGGCCTCTCTCCAAGAGAACCTCACTCCACCCTGATCCCATACAGTCACGCATCTGGGCCCCCACCTAGGCCACAGCTGCCACAAGTCCCGGTGACCCAGGGAGAGGAGATGATAGCATCCACCCCTAAACCAACAGAGACAGCCGGCCCACGGCCCCCCTCGGAACCCAGCACAGCTTCCCACCGAGCTAAAGACTTGTGACAGCTGGTCCAAGCCTTAGGAGCAAAGGAACGAAGGGAGGCAGCTTCGGAAAGCCATGAATCATGACCTCCCCACTCCCACAACGCCCCTCCCACTCCCCAGTCCCGCTAGCCCCCGGGGCCCAGCTCCACTGCTGCCGGCACCCGCAGACCCCCAGCCAATCCACCGCTGGGCAGACTCAATTTTCCAGTTACAGATCTTAAGTACTTAGGCATGTGCTCGCCGGCACAGGAGTCCCTTACAGGAGCCCAGCAAAGGAATCGTGCGGAGGAACAGAATAATTGAATCAAGATTTCTGTCACGCAGCTCTCAGGCCCTAGACCACGGCCAGGGATTTTTTTTCTTTTTTCTTTCCTGAGGAAGGTTTTACAGAGTCCCAGGGGGTGGAGGTGGGGGCTGTTTCTCCTCTCAAACCCATTAAAGTCGGCCTGCTCTGCCAGCCGCCCATCCAGGAAGAGGCAGCCAGGTTAAGGTGGGCTGGTGTCCCCGACAAGACAGTCAGCCCTAGAGAGCTGGGATGGCCCAGGGAAGGGGGTTGAGGGGTGAAGAAAACCAGCCGGGAAGACTGTCATTTTGTAATCTCCCAGGAGCCCTCCTACCAGACCCAAGGGGGGTGAGGGGAAGATGCTTCATTTCCTCAACGTACTCAGCCCCATCACCAAGGCTGCAGCCGTCTAGAAGGTCCCTGACCCTCTCCACCTCCAGTGAGCCCTGTTTAGCAAGAGGGTCCCCTCCAACTCCCGCCCCCATCCAAAGGGAGAGCTCTGGAATATTCATACCAGCCTCCCCTGAATATGTACAACGTTTGATGGTCCAAAAGTCCGCCAACCTCATTTCTCTGAGTCCCCCGGGGGTGATAATAAGGAGTGGGAGAAGCATGGAGTCATCCATGCCCTCCGCAGGTAGCCTGTCTGCACCCTCCGCTGCAGGGCTCAGCCCACCAGAAACCACCATCCTAGGGGACCCGGGGACTAGGTTGGTCAGGGTGCGCTGGAGAACAGCTTTGCTGACCCGCGGGCGCCACCAGGGCGCCTCCGCCGCTGCAGTCCGTCCGCGGGTCGCCAGCAGAGGCTGCGCGGGCATCCCTTACCTTCATCTCTCTTGCGCTTGTTGGTGTCGGCGCTGGGGGACGTGATACCCAGGATGCCGCTGATGGAGTACGAGGAGCCGGCCGAGTCGGTGCTCACCGACGACACCTGCGTCACGGAGCCCGTGGACACTGTGCGAAGGGAGAGGGCGGTCAGGGCCGGCAGGAGTGAGGCGCGGCGGGCGGCCGGCGGGCGGCAGGCTCAGCTAAAGACAAAAGCGCTCACGCTGCTCGCCTGGAGCCTTGAAGCCAGTGAGCTGCGAGCAGCGGGGAGCCAGAGCTACACAGAGTACTGACCGACAGACAGACCGACAGACAGACCGACAGATAGACGGCTCGCCTGCGCGCCGCCGCCGGCTGCTGGTGGGGTTCTCAGAGATGAGCAGTGAGAACCTGGGACCCATGCATTAGCTCAATGTGCAGCTGTGGAGAAAAAGGGACAACCGGGCGCGGGGCAGGGGTGCCCACCAGCCAGTGTTCTAAAAGAATGAAATAAAAAGACATAAAGCTCATTCATAAGCCTATACACTCTGCCTACACACATTTATAAGCAGACACAGGTGGAGACACTGAGACCTTTAGAAGAAAAACATTCAGCCACCAAAATTCCCAAGAAGATGCCCTTCGTTAAACACTTCTCGGCTGTTTGTCTTTCCAAGCTACCGGACCTTTTTGGTTCACAGTAGTTATTCCACAGCCACACAACACTATGAGGACAGTCAGGTGACATAGACATATGCTGATAAATTTAAGGAGATCTAACAGTGCGACCATGGCACAGGAGGACCTGTGAGCCTCCGTATCCCCCACTTTTCAAATGGTCCAATTGGGGCCACTTGGCTTTAAAGAAAGACCTACAGTCTCTGCTGTTCTCAAAAAGGGAGAGAAATTCAGAGATTTCTACTTTAGTGACCAAAGCTGAGGGGTCCACATTAGTTTTACCGAGTAGCAAGGAACGGTGCCAAGCTTCTCACTGAGAATCACCTTGCATAGCCCTGTGTGTGAATAGCGTCACCTCTGCCTTTCCAGAGTGTCAGTGTTGTTTTAGGGTTTGAGTATGATCTAGGGGCTGTTCTTGAGCGGGGGGTTTATGTTCAAAAATATGCAACACAGCAGACCTGGTTCGACCAGCATCCCATATGGTTTCCCGAGTCCACCAGGAGTGATTCTTGACTACAGAGCCAGGAGGAAGCCCTGATCACCTCCAGGTGTGGCCCGAGAAAACAAAAACAAATTTCGAAAATACGCTAGTTTTCCAGCTGGGATCCACCACACCTCCTGCTTTTGAAAGTTTTCATGGGCACATTCCACTTTGGCCAGTGGGAGGAGGGAAGACCTCTATTTATCCCATTGAGAAGACAAAGGAAGCAAGAATCACATGAAAAGGGAAATGACTGGTCCAGGGCTACACAGTTCAGAAGAGGCAGAGTAGGGATGGGAACCCAGAAATGAAAGTTTGAATCCCTGTGAGCAATCAACAGCTCCTCCCTGATGAATAATAACCAGCAATACTATTCTTTGCACAGGCATGGAGGTGGCGTTTCCCACCAGATGCTTGTCACAGCCTAGGGCTCTCACTCATCCCCACAGAGGAAAGGAAAAGAGACTCAGAGTCACCGAGGCCCTCAGTGTCAGTCAATGCCTCCCCTCTCCTTGGGTCTGCAGACTTGAAGCCCATTTCTCCTGCTAAAAGTGAGCAGAGGTCATTGAGTGATTGTGACTAGACCCAGGTCTCAAAGTTCCTCCTTACAAAGCCCCAAGAGGGTGGGGGGAGAAGGTGAGCTTGGTGCAAGAGTCACATAAACTGACACCAGCCCAGTCCAAGAGGGACCCATGAATTATCAGCATCCTCTTCTCTTGGGTTGCCCTGCTGAATTGCCCTCTCCAGGCCACAGAAGTTCCTTCTCAGTTCATCACAAATCTCCAAACCCATATACTTTCCCTGAGCTGTCACTACCTGGACACTGGTGGGGCCACCTTTGACTGGAAGGTGTGCGGAATGACTCAGAAAAGGAAGAGGAGCAGAAGAAGGGTTCCCACGGCCAGCCCTCACCCCCGCAGACCTCCGGGGAGCAAGGCCTTGCTTCTCAGGTTTGAGTTTGGTTTTAGATCTTCCTTAGGAGCCACAGAAGTGAGAAATCATTAACTTCTCTTTTCCTTCACCAGAAAAAGATCCTCAAAATAGATTTATGCAAATGCCACACCCTTTTCTGTATTAGGGTGCAAAGAACAGAGGAAAGGAGAAGACCACAAGTCCCTGGGCACTTGCAACAACAACTGGCACAGAGAGTAGAGGCTCGGCCACAGGGCTCATGGAGCCAAGGCCTCTGTGTGGAGAGTTTGTGATTGACAAGACTTCAGAGACCCAGGGTTCATTTCTGGCTCCTCCCCTTCCTTGGGCCTGTGATTTCATCGCTCTCAGCTCCCAATTCTTCACTCCCCCATAAGTCAGTAAGACGGGAAGAGGTTGTACACATATAAGATGTGGTTTTTACAAAAAAATTTCTTAGACCACACAAAACACTCTGCTGCCTCACAAGGAGCATTCACCCCCACGTCCTACTGAAAGGCTGTGGAAGGGACACTGAGCTTGATAACAGTCTTTGCTACATGGCCTGAAATAGTTAAAGCCGCAAGTGAAGACTCAGCCAAGCATCTTCTCACGAAGCCAGCTTCTTCTGGCCTCTCACGGAGCTGGAAGTTCCCTCCCTTCTGTTCCCACAGCCCTCTAAACTTTCTCTCTGTGCTTTCTCTATGTTTTGTCAACTTCTCTTTGTTCCATCCCCTCATGACACCAAGCCCAAGAACCACAAGAATGAGGCCTTGGTTCTCCTCCTTTATAAAGGGATTCCCAAAAGCCACCGTCTGCATTGCAGGGGCTTAGTAAGCATACTTTCAATAGATCCCAAGATAAAGAATGATTTTATAGCAGGGAGGAATCCTGTCTTGCCCCTATGCAGGCTATCATGAAGGATGGGAGCCCTTAGAGAGCATGTCCACCCACTCACGGGAAAACTGAGGCTCAGAGAGGCTAAGGACTTACTACCCCAGGCAGAGCAGGAATTATAAGCCATGCCTCAGACTGTATTCCATCACCACAAGGTCAAGTTTTCAGTGAAAAAAGTGACAAAAGTCTAGACGCATCCCACAGTTTGAGCTGGATTTAGCACGATTGACAGGGACTGTGGATGACAGGACTATCAGAGACTGAATGGCCATCAGCTTTCTTATGATAGAATCATTTTTCTCCCAGCTAACCAGAAGAGTATCCTTTATTCCAAGTGGGGAAATAGGTTTTAAATAGACACATGTCACTTTCACTTCCCGGTCTTTGCAGGGAGGAGAGGGCAAAGGGAACTCCAGAGTGGTATGAATGAAGACTTCCAGCCTATAAACTCATTATCACACATTCAGACATCCCCGATGAGTGTCAGAAGCCCCCCCACACACACACACACGCCTGGTAGCTCTTAACAGTTCACAGAGTACATGAGATCGAAGCAAGAGAGAGAGAGAGAGAGAGAGAGAGAAAGAAAGTTTGGGAAGTTTTGCCACATCTTCGCTCAAGACTGCAAGTGCACAAAGAATTGTAGAAGGGCTGGTTGATAGAAGAAAAAAACACATTCAAAACTACTTACTGACTAATGATGCAGAAAATGTTATGAATAAGTATCCCTTTCTTGATTTATTACTTTAATTATCTGACATTCTATAGACCCCCATTAGTGGATTTTTTTGGCTTAGATTTCAATTTTCTGTCTCATGGTGAAAGCTATTTATCATAATAATCAGTAAAATTCAAAACCTTTTAGCAGTATTTATAAAATTCATTTACCAGGTTCAGCCCTTGGAGAATGACAAAGAAGGCGCATTAGTACGTGTGCCGAAGTGTTTTATGCAGAATTATCTGTCCATAAGAATGATTAAAAGTTCTTTAGAATATTTGGAACCCATTAGATTTTTAAAAATTTTTTTTAAAAGTTCTTACCTATACTGTGACTGGAGGCAGGGACCGGCTGGTTGGGCGGCTGCTGTACTTTTGTCCGGATGATCCTGTGGTGGACAGTTAGGATAAAAAAAAAAAAGTTCTATACCATTATGGTGACACAATCTATTCTCACAGTGCACCCCAAACTAGAAAACCCATATCAAGCTGAATCACAGAGCACCGGGATTTGCCAGGATTTGGGCAGAGGCAGAGGTGTGGGGGAGATTATGACCTTAGGCTGGGAACTGGGTGTTGGGAGACACCTGGACTAGTGGTCTAGAACCAATTCACGCCCGCTCCTTCCTTCAGTACTTCTGGGTGACTTGCACTTTCCCTTAACTGCCTCTTCTGTAGAGAGAGACTGTTGATGCGACAAACAGGTACCTGTTCTCAGAAGCAACTCCCACACCATAAAGAGCTAGGAGGAATTCTTCCCTTCCCAGGTCTTATCTATAAAATGAGGGGACCAAACCAGGTGACATCTGGCAGTTCTCACTCTCCATTTCAGTGACTTAGAGAGTCATAGAAGTAGGGTCACACCGCCCTGCTGGCAATGACCGAGGGAATGAATATATGTGCTGCTCTCAAACTAGAGAGGATTGAAGTTATTCAAGGAGATCTCTTAAGAAAGAGACTGCTTTTTCTCACTTTTTTTTTTTTTGCTTGTCTGTTGTCTGGATCAAACCTAGAGATCTGGTGTGTGAGGTCTGCTCTTCCCATGCGCCAGGAAGTGACCTCACCTCCTACCAAACCTCTGGGAAATCTCCATGGGCTGAAGACTCAGGCCAACCTAGGCTATCTTTCCAGACACCTTGCTCCAATTTTAATATGATTTTGACTGTGGCTCTGGAAAAGTCTGCTCCATTTTGAATCTCAGTGTAATGGGGGAGTTGGAGCATATTTATCTTTGCTTGCTTTAATTAAATCCTTCTGGGAAGAAAAAAGAAATCTTACGGAAAAGTTTTACGGATACAAGAGATCATTGTGGTACTGCCTTTTCTTTGTCACCTGACAGTTCTGATGTCTTTCTGCACAACTTTGTGCTCTGGAAGGGTTACTTTGTGCATTTCCTTCTGACAACAAAGTTTCCATGAGTCCTGAGCCTGGTGAATCTCCGAACAGCCCACTGGAATGAGAACCAGAACCAAAACCAAAAGGCCCTTCAATACCTGCAAGTAAGTTCCTTCCCAAGCACTTGGGAGATGGGTTGATAGTAATAAAGTCTTCTGCTTCCTTGGAACAGTTCGTGTCAGCCTCCAGCTATTATGTGTGTGTGTTTGCGTATCTGAGAATGGAACCCATGGTCTCACACATGCAAAGTTCATGCTCTAAAACAGAACTCTGGTCTAAACCCCTAACCACTATTTTATTCATGTTTACTTGTGCTCTTAGATTGTTTTTATTTGAACCACACCTGCCGGTACAACTCAGCTACACCTCAGTTCAGTACTCACGGTTCATTCCCCGTGCTGCTGGAGGGCTATGAGATCCCACAATTTGAACCTGTCCCCCCATGTAAAGTATGTGCTCCAGCCCTTTGAGCCATCTCCCTGCCACCACTCCCCACCCCTGCCAACTACTGCCTTTTGAAGGAACACTTAAGAGTTTTCCCCAATTACAAAAGTACTCTGTGCTCATTATGGACTATTCGGAGAGGAATAAAGAAGATCATCTAAAACCACATTTTGGTGTGTTTCTTTTACATTAACCTCATTAAGTATGTTTGGAAAATCATAACAAAATCAAACTAAAACAAAGAGGGAGTTTTGCATCCCTTGCAACTCTTCACTAGATGTTACGTGAGCAGCTTTTCCCGTCCGAGACCATTATTTCTAGATGTGTATTTCAAGCTGCTCTGGGCATCTCAGAAACAGAGAGAACATATTAAGAGGTGCCTTCCTTTCACTTCCTCGGGCTCTGCCCTCTGTCTTCTCTAGGCTCTGTGCTAGGCACAGAGGGCCCTCAGCACCCTCGGTGGGTGGTCTAAAGTGGTAGACAATACCACAGCCCAACTACAAGCCTTTTGGAATCCAGGCCACATTAACTTAATTAAGGCCTTTTCCTTTTCCGATGGGTCAGTGTAAGGATTCCTCAAAAACATCCAGGGTAGCTGTTTGCTTTCCCCAACATTCAAACCCAACATCAAAAATATTTCCCCAATAGTCAAAAATATTTTGAGTAACACATGGATTGTATTGATGAAGAGCTCCAAGTGGCATTGTCTTTTATTTTTTAGGGACCACTCCGAGCAGTGCTAAGCATGGGGGTTTATGGTACTAGACTGAACCCAGAGCCTCACATTTTGTAGGTATGTACTCCACTGTAGGAGCAATTTCCTTGGCCCGATACCGTCTTTTTGACGACCTAGAATTAATCTGGCATATAATCTAAGTTTTGCATTTTTGTATATATATTCTTCTCTCTGTACATGCATCTGTGTGTCTACAAAGATATAACTAGACACATGAACGTCTAAGCATACCATTCCATAGTTTAGCTATATTATGGTTCATTGTTGTATATTAATATATATGTGGTAAAACAGATCCTAATTGTGTTACTCTGAAGTTCAGCATATAGTCCTAGCTTTTTAAAGCATTGTCTAACCATTAAAGTTGTCTATGAGGGCTGAAGCAATAATACTGAGTGTAAGGCATTTGCCTTGCACACAGCTGACCAGGATTTGGTTCCCGGCATTCCATATGGTCCTCCAAGCACTACCAGGAGTGATTCCTGGGTGCAAAGCCAGGACTAACCCCTGAGCATCTGTGGATGTGACCCAAAAAGTAAATAAAATAAAGTTGACTATAAGTCCAAGCAAAGAGGCTCTGAAAGTAGACTACTAAAGTTTTTCATGTGATAGCTGCATAATGTTGGGTAAATTACTTAATCTCTCTATGCCTCAATATTCACATCTATGCATAATAATCCATTCCTACTACATAATGATAATATTAGAATTAAAATAATTCAGCATTGAGTATAGTGGTTGCTGCATAATAAGCGCTTAGTAAATGTTAGCTATTATTTTTTAATAGCTAACATTTATTATATTATATTTTGTCATTTTCATAAGGATTAATAACCAACTGCAATCTTAAGAGGTTCCTTTTGTTGTTTGTTTTTAGACCACATCTGGTGATGCTTAGGGGTGAATCTTGGCTCTGCACTCAGGGATCACTCCTGGCGGTGCTCAGGAGACCATATGAGATGCCAGCAATCGAACCCAAGTAGGTCACATGCAAGGCAAGCACCTTACCCACTGTACTATCTTTCCAGCCCAAAAAGATTCACATTTTCCACAAATGCCTTCAGAACACAGAAGCTGGACCAAAGATGTAAACTCAGCAGCGATGTGCATGCTTGGCATGTCTGAAGCCCTGGGTTGGATCCAGGGCATCAGGAAAACAAAACAAAACAAAGCTAAATGAACAAAACAAAAAGCCACGTGGGAGGTGGGGAGGGAAGGACAGTCCTCCCGACACCCGCACTTTAACACTGCAGTGGGACTGTGCTTTGTGGGGTACAGCAGAATTGTAAGGGACTCTCCGACGCTGCCCCCAGGGATAGAGATTTTGCCCATCTGCTTGGCAGCAGCTGCCAAGAAAAGGACAAAAACCATCATATTCCATTGAGAAGAAATGGTAATAGGAAGAACAAGACTAATTGAATCATAGCAATTACCAAAAAAAAAAAAAATTAAGGGGCCAGGAAAAGAGTTTAAAGGGCTGGAGTTCATGTCCTGCATGCATGAGGCCTCAAGTTCAATCCCTGGCACTGTATATCCCCCTAGCATTTCCAATGTGGTCCTCCCCCCTCCTCACCCCCTGCCCCCAGCATCCCTGGGCATGAACAGTACCACATTGCTGCGTCTGGACATTGAATTGTCCTGAACAATTGGCCAGTGTCACCAGGAGTGGTCTCTGACTCCTAGGCATTGCTTGGGAGTCCCCAAAATAATTGTTTTGTAACTCGCTATCTTCAAGACTCACCACAACCAGAGTCCTATCTAGGGCCATTTTTAAACCAGAAATAGCAGGGGCTACTTGGCACTAAAAGGTATTGCTTTTGCTGAGCATGAAAAAGGCCCAAGGTACCCTTGGATGAGAAGGGAGCTCAGCGACAAATTCCAGTGCACAAGGAAACTAAAGCCTAGGGCATCCAAGGGACTTGGCCAGGATTACACAGCAAATACCTGTACTAAGTTAAGCACCTTAAACCCTCTACTACCCTTTTAGCCCTTTCTACTATTTTTAATACAAATACATTCACCATACAAATACATACAAATACATACAAATACGTTCGCCTTACAAGCGGCCAACATGGCCGACCCGAGTTCGATTCCTCCGCCCCTCTCGGAGAGCCCGGCAAGCTACCGAGAGTATTCGATATGCCAGACACAGTAACAACAAAGTCTCCAATGGAGACGTTACTGGGCCCGCTCGAGCAAATCGACGATCAACGGGAGGGCCTTTAATTTAATTTAATTAACATTCACCACAAAACAATTCTCATAACAATTCTGGTAAATGAATTATACTTGTCCAGACCCCAACCAAACCACAGAAACTGGGTGCCAGTGTTTATCTGCATCAACTCTGCAAACCCTAAATCTCCAAGAGATGCTACAGACATATGCACTTTCACACACACTGAAGCTCTAAATTCCAGCGACTCTTTAATAAGGGTCCCCATTCCTGGCAGCAGATGGTGAGGGGTGAGAAGCTAGAGCCCCTTCTGAAGGATTTGTGTTGGCGAGTTTGCCATAGACCTCACATCCCCGATCACTTCAAGCTTAGCCTGCCTCACTCATTGTGTACCTGCCAGGCCCCACAGAGGCAGTGAGGACTGGGACTACCCATGGCAGGTACACCCTCCCTTGGGACACCCCTGTGCCCCACAGCTTGGAGTTTGGCTTTGGCCAAGATTCCTCTACAGAGCAAAAGGTGGGTGCTTCTTCATTGCTCTGAGCAGTCCATGCCTCCCACTAGTGCTTCTGGAAACCCAGAAGAAGAAATTCTTGTTGCTTTGTGTCCTGAATATCCAACAGGGGACTCCCAAATAATGAAGCACTTCATCATCCAGAAAAAAAAAGAATAGGAAGTAAAAAGAAAAAAGAATAGGAAGTATTTATCCCCCGAAACCATCCCGATACCTTCTCCCTCCCCTAACCCCCTCCATTTTGTGCCTGCTGCCCACTGTCCAGCCTTCTCAGAGCATGCTAGAATCCAGCCTGGACAAGCCGCTGTTCAGGAACAGAGACCCAGGATGATTCCTCTCTCTGCTCAGCTCCCAGCCTGCAGTCAAGGTGAATAGAAACGCTCACTGAGAGAACAAAGGCCTACTCTTGGCTTAGGAAAGAGCAGTTCTCACACCATCAGTGTGTCTATAGACTCAGATTCAAAGCCTACAAATCAACGCAGGAGGAATGCCTGTTGGGACCTGCAAGGATCTCAGCGACTTTCTAATCTGAGCAGGTCTTTCTGCTAGGGCTGATGGGTCCCCTTTGCTCAGACAGGCTCTGCATTGACCAGGGTTGGGCATGACCTTGGAGAAGTGGGAACTGCTCAGCTTTCCAGTCTGCTGGGTTCTCTTTAGAGAAGAGTCATTCTTGTTCATCTGCCAACTTCTTCTGGGCTTTTGAAGGTTTTTTTTGGTTTTTGGTTTTGGTGGGGGTTTTTTTTTGGGAGGGGTCTTTTTGAGTCACACCCGGTGTTCCTCAGGGGTTATTCCTGGCTCTGCATTCAGGAATTATTCCTGGCAGTGCTCAGGGGGGATGATATGGAATGCTGGGGATCGAACCCAGATCAGCCAGGTGCAAGGCAAAGGCCTTACCCACTGTACTATGGCTCCAGCCCCTCAGAGGGTGTTTAATGAAGACTGCACTACCTAAAAAACTTCCCTTCCAACATTCACTTTGAAAGCTCTGCGAGACTAGAAAGAAGGAGCCATTGTGATTCCCAAGAAGACCCCTAAGCTTGTCACTCATGGTACTCCTCTGGTTCTTTATCTCCCTGGGTGGGGCTCTTGGCAGTGAGCCCCCTCCCCCCGCATGCTTATCCTGAGTATCCCCTGGAGATCACAAACCCACATCCAGCCTCCGGAGCACTGGGCTCTCAAGAAAGGAAGCTCTTTGTCAAGGTCACACTTGGAGTTCATTGGTGGAAGAGCTGGGACAAGTAATTGGAATCCAACTCTATATCAAGGCTTTGCTTCTCAGATCTGCGCCCGAACTTGAGGAATCTCCTGACATGCATCAGAGCCAAGTCCTGGGGCCTGAGCTCTCAGGGACAGACCACCGGGGAAGGCTTCATCAGAAACACTGACTGTGAAGCTGGCAACATAGACCAGGGCAGGTGGCAGAGAAGGGAAGGAGGGAGAGAGGGAGGGAGGGAGGGCTCTGGGTCTGGAGACAAAATCAAGGTCCTCTCAATGAACAGGACTGGTGTCCATTTTGCAGGGAGGAGAGAGGCAGCAGGGATGCCCGTGGGGCCACACACTGGAGAACCCTCCTGACCTACAGGTATATCTATGGCATCTTGGCGGAAGGAGAGGCCAGATGATTAGGGAAGACACAGTATGAGTCCCCACAGCACCCAGACCCCTAGTCCCCTCACCTGTTGATAGAGCTGACACTGGGCACCGTGTCGTTGTCACACACCCGTTCCGCAAGCAGCCGGTCCCTGATCTCCCAGGCAAACATGGTGGGGTTTTGGCGTTTATACTCAGCAATTTTCTCCACCACTTTGGGCGTGGCAACCTTTGGTTTGGAGCCTCCAATTACCCCCGGCTTGATGCTCCCCGTCTCATAATACCTAGGACCCAAAGAGAAAGGAACTTAGCCAGGAGGTGTCAGCAAAATGGAGACTGGCAACAAAATATCAGTCCAGATCTGCACAGTTCAATCAATACAGCAGTGGCTTAGCCCCCTGGGCTTCTGAACATTTGAAATGAGCTAGTCTGAACTGAGATATGCGCCAGTGCAAGATACACAACAGATTTTTTAAACTTAGTACAGAAAAAGAATGCAGTATATCTCTCTATTAAGTTTTAATTAAAAGAATCAAAAGACATGTTTTTTAACTTCAAAAATTAAATATTACACTGATATATTGAAATAATATTTTAATGTATTAGGTTAATTACATATGTAATTTAAATTCATTGTACATGTTTCCCTTCCCTTTTTTTTCTAATGTGCTAACAGAAAAATTTTAACTTCAAGGTCAGGACTAAAGAGATAATACAGTGGGTAGGGCACTTGCCTTGCACACGGCAGATCCAAGTTCCCTGAGTCCCACCAAGAGTGATCTCTGAATGAATAACCAGGATTTGGCCCCAAGTCCAAAATAAAATTTAAAAGAATGCCTTGCAAGTATGAGGTCCTGGGTTTGACCCCTGCACCACATATATGGCTCACATCCTATTTCTATTGGACAGTACCGATCAGGATACTAAGTTTTCATTAGTTCTTTCACACATATCTATCATTTCACAGGCAACAGAATACATTCAAAACAGTTTTTCTATTTGCTCTTCTAAAAGCACTCAATCACATAAATATTTTGAATGATTGGATGAGCACATTGAGACATAGGTCCCATCTTTAGGTATAAAACAAAGATCCGGAGAGCTTAAAACGATTTGCTCAGGATCATACCAGACAAATTAGCCAATGCAGGGTGGTGGCCCACCCACCCGAGCAAAAAAAAAAATGTTTCCAGAAATCTGACCAGACCCCTTCCTTTGCCAGCAATTCCACCCTCTCCCTGCCCCAAAACAGTCTCATCTGCATTCTGTGAAAGTGGACCCAAAAATGTGGCTTGCTTTATTTACCCTGGCATAAATTAAAAGTGAAAGGAGTGCTGGCTTCCACAAGTAACTGCTAATATATGTGATATGTAATTCAAAGCTTAAGGAATTTTTAAAAAAGCCACCCATAAGTCTCCTTGGGTCTTTTGGGACCTCCCCGAGGAAAATCGCTCCTTCTAAGGACATTTCCATGCTATCAGCTCTTCCTCGTTAAGGCAAATAGGATGTCAGGCTTTTACAGGAAAATTGAGAAGAGTGCCATGGAAGATCATTTCAGGGGGAGAAATTACTTGCTCCCTTTCCTGATACTAGGCTTTTGCTGGATGTCTTGCTTGACGCTTACAGAGGAATTGTTGGCTTTCTCTTGCAAAAGAAGATTATTCTTGCAGTTAAAAAATAAAGTTAACCACAAAAGACATCTTAGAAATGACCGGGAGTTTTCATATCTAACATGATTTTATTAGGGTTCTGCCATGATACATGAGCAAGTCTCCCGTAGAACAATGCCCAATTTCATTTACAAAAATGTTGACACTGTCAGCTAAGGCGAAGTGTCTGGTAGAGCCCAACTTAACTCACATTCTGTAAACAGGTTAAATCTCTTGGAAGCAATGATGTATACCTGGAAATTCTACTTTTCGTTTAAATGAGTCATTTACAAATTCTAACCATACCAAGAAACTCAACTTACCCTCCCTCTTTCTGTCATTGTTGAAAACTATTCAGTCACTAACAGTTTCAGAAATATCTCAGAAAATACTTTTTTTTTGCCTAAAAGCAGGCACACAGCAATCTGCAGCCTCCAAGTCTGCTTACATTTTACAAGAAGTCATTAACAAACAACAATCATGCCAGCAATGCCTTCTCCTGTCCCAGGACTTGCGGCGTACAAGGCTCATCCTTAGGTTCTTTTCACCCTTAAAACAACCTCATGGGGTTTGAGAAAATGTATCATCAGAAGATGAAGCATCGTGCTGAAGCCCCTTCTGTAAGTAAAAGCAGCACCAGCTTTTTGCCCGATCTAGATTTAGATCCTGAGCCCTTCTGCTAGAGTCAACCATCACTACAGTTATAAAAATGAGGGGCCTGAGAGATGGTACAGCGGGTAGGGCGCTTTCCATGCACACGGATGACCTGGGTTTAATCCCCAGCACTCCATATGGTACCCCGAGTTCCTGAGTGCAAAGCCAGGGGTAAGCCTTGAGCACCGCAGGGTGTACCACCCCCTCCCAGGGGGTAAAAAATGAAAACAATAATCATGATACTAATAGCCCCTTTAAATCACATAGATGCATCTTCCCACTTATCTGCTTGCTCAATCAACAGTCACCCAGCGCCTGTTGGGAGAGGAGTGACAAACAGATGACCCTGGGCCAGCAATTCCAAGTAAGAGTCAAAGGAGATGCCATATTCCTGCAGCAACTTGGAGGGCAAGGCAGGGAAAATCCCCGCTTCTCTGCTTCTCATCTGGCTTCTGTGGCTGACAGAGACACTCAGGGTCCTCCACACTCACTGTCCCCCTGCCACAGTGCCAACTGAGGTCTTCACACGAGAGGTCTCTGTCTCCCATTTCAAAAAGGCCAGACACATAAAAGGTAACCCTGATGAAATTCCCACTTGTGTCCAGTGAGGATTCAGACTAACCAATCAACCGTCCTCTCATCTCAACAAAACAGCCACTCAGCCCTTGGGCTTCCACCTGATGGGCACACACGGGGACCAGCCCACGGCAAGGCAGTGCACAGGGCTCTCCTTATGCAAGGTGAAAGGCTTCATCAGGGACTCTGAAAGTAACTCACTCTGAGACCCCAGACGACTCACTGAGCTTCCGGGTGGGTCCCTGTGATCCCCATTAGGGCAAGCAGGCTCATGTTTGCCCTGTGTTCCCGCAGACAGACAAGCCAGAGATGAAAGGAAAATGTTGCTAAGCCCAGAAGTGCGTGCTGCGGATTGACCCTCTCAGAGCTGTGTTTATGGCTGTGTCACATGCCCTCCCCCATCCCAGTTCCAAATGACCCCTCCAAAGCCAAGCACCAGCTGTCTGAGGGGAGGGGGCTCAAGGGATCTCACATGCCAACATCCTGTGCCTCTAGAGCCCTTCAGGAACGGCCTTGCACCCTGTGGACCCCACCCTCCTGGAAGTCCGTCCTCCCTGAAATGCTGGCGTTTCCCCCACGCTGTCTTGCCATGCAACCTCTGGAAAACTCGGCCACCGCTGACTCTCTACAACCTGTCACCCACTGTGCAACCATTCAATTCTTGTCACCCACTATGCACCCACCAAAAAAATAAAAGCCAGAACCCATTGATGGCTGGCTAAACAACCCCTGTTTGGAAACCCCCAGTCACACTGTTTTAGGGCTGAACTTGTTTCTTAAAAGGCAGTCTAATTAGAGTGACATTTTGTCCACTGTGGTTCTTAGTTATGAAAATAATGAGCTATGAAATTCCAATTTATTGTTGACAACTTAAACGGCCAGGCACCCGAGCGGCGCAGAACTTCGCAACGCCACTCTACCTACTGACATATCTATTCAGGGCTGAGGGCACCTGGGACAGACCCTGTCCTCTTGCATCTAGAGGAAATCTGGAGTGCACCTGGACACCAGGACCTCACATCTGGATGCCCCCTCTTGAGAAGGGATAAGCCTCATACTCTGAGAAGATTTCTAATATCCAGCAACATGTCGGATCAGCAGAGATGTCTCAGCAAAAACAAAGAAAAGTCGCCTTTCTCTGCCAGGTACAAAGAGGCTGGTCTGAAATATAGCTGAGACCCATTTAGTTGCACAAGCCTGAGTCTAAAATATTTCTTTTCTCTCTTCTTTCTCTCCTTCCATCCTATCTTCATTTCTCTTTCTCTTTCTCATTTCTCTTTTCTCTTTTCTCTATTTCCCACCCTCTATTTTGCCTCCTCAAACTCTTGCTCTCTAAAATCACTTTCCTCCTCATCACACCTTTCCCTTGAGCCCTGGCAGGAGCAGAGCCCACGGCTCAAGTGATCTTCGAAAGGCACCGAGGAACCAAAGTGGGATACAGGCCCCTCACAAGGCTCCCCGACCCCTGTCTTGTGGCCGGACTTCCCATGGCTTCCTGCAAGCCTCCCCTAGGTTAGAAATGAGGGCTCCCCCCACCCGAAAGAATGTCTTCAATTCCAGCAGCGAGAAGAGCAAGCAAGAAGGCGCCATGTCCCTGACAATCCTTCAAAAATATGCCTCTTCTATTCGATTCTCAGCCCAAACAGAGGTTGCTTTCTGACTGAAAAGAGAAATCCTAGGAGAGTGCTGAACTCGCTAGACCCAAGAATGCTCCTGGCTGCCAGAGCAGAACTCAAACAACTTCACACGTCTGGAAGCAAACCTGGGGATCAAGCTTGGGATTGGGGGTGGGAGGGGGAACAGCCGGTTGCCTCTTAGCAGGCCTTTCAGCTCTTCCTGCCCAAACAGTAACTGGCCGATGGGCCTGGGTCAGTAACTCGGCCTTTCTAGGTTTGCTTAGAGGCTGCTGTGGATTGCACTGAGGCTCACTCGAGAGAGAAAAGAAACGGGAGCACGAAGAGGCTGCGTGGCCCTCGGGGAGATTCGGTGTTGTTAGTATTTTGCGGGTAGCAAATCGCCAGGTCAAGTGGCACATTTCAAATGTCAGATCTGAGAGTTAGTGTTTGCTTCGTCTCCCCCCACCCTCCTCTAATTTAATATATACTTAGGAGGCCTGTCACTAGGAAGGAAACAAAGCACAGAGAAGGAAAAGACAGCAGCCCCACATAAGGAGCTTAATAATAACCAAAATCAGGGGGGGGGGGGGGGAATGACAGCAGGCTTTTCAAAAACAGAACATGGTTTTTGAGAAACGTGAAAAATAAAATAAAACAACATTGAAGTCTGGTGACTTTGTAACTTATCACCTGGGTGTGTCTAGGAAATTGTCAGGAACCTCTTATGCTCTGGGATTCTTTGGAACAATTCAGCAGGCTTTCAGAAAAAAATTCCATTCCTCCAGACTGAGTCACCCTATTCCAATGTGTCGCTAATACTTGGACCTGAATGTCCCTGGAAGGGTTTCAGAAACTCAGAACAGTTGTGCATTAGGGGCCCCGGAGGCACCAGGACACTGGCTGTGACACGGCCGCACTGGACAGCTACGGGGTCATGTTTTTGAGGTGGTTATTTGAAAAGGGAAGCCTGGAGCACCTGCCTTTACCTGCCAAGAATTTTGCTGACACAACCATGGCTGACCCGAAGCTGCCTGGAGATGTCGCAGGGCCTGACACCTTGGTGAGCAAGTTCCACTATCCTTTGGCGGACTACATCCGGGAGTGGTCGTCCATTCACAAAAACCCCCCCAAGCTGATTCACTCCTCCATGTCCTGAAACAGATCAGAAACAAAGGCAAGGGAAAGGGTGGTTAGAACCAATCACACAGCAGAAGTGCCACAAGCACCCAGAGCCCCTTTGATCAGAAAGGTCGCAAGAGGATGTGTTGACCTTGGAATGGGCTTGGGCTCACTTCACGAGCACCTCCGACTGCTTCTGAGAACTGGTCTTCACATTCATCTCTCCATGGCCTCTGAGTTGGGTTGTCTAAAAGCAAGCACCCCCATGCTATGTTTCCTTTAGTCGCTACAATTTTCCTTGTTTGAAACAATGGAACGTGTAAGACCCTAGTCTACACTCAGGACAAAACTTACAAGTGTTATTCTAAGGTCTAACACAGAATCCGGGGAGAAAATCAGTTTTAAAATACGTGGGATTTAATGATATTTTAAAGTGAAAAAAGACTAGTTGAGAACACCTAGTGTGGGTGAGTAGGGGGTGGTGGTTTTTAAATCGGCAATCCGAGGAAAAGCCAGTGTTGCTCTTACATCTCTCTCTCTCTTTCTCATTCTCTCGCTCCCTTTCTCTCTCTTTCTCCTCTCCTTTCCTATTTCTCTAAATGACACTATTTTACTTCCCCAAAAACATAATAAGTAAATCAGTCATCTAAATCAAGGGTTAAGGGTTTTTAAAAAAAAATTGTTCTTTAGTCATATCTGCAGAATAGTGGACGAAACCTAACCACTTCTCTGATTTTAAAAAACAACTCTCTTTAAGAGGTGAGACCCACACCTCAAAGCACAGGGTGGGGGCAATAAACAAACAAGGCGTTGCTGACGTGCAGCCATGCCCACTGCATCTTGCTCAGAACACACAAAAGAAAGGGCTTGGAGGATCTCATTCTCCTCGACTGCATCAAAATATGTAATAAAGGAGTTCCCTTGGAATTTTTGGAGGTTTTTTGTTTTGGTTTGTTTTTGCAATTGACAAGCAGCTTTCTATTGGTTCAGAAGAAATAAAGAAGCTGGAGAAGGCTTCTGTGCACCAAGTTTTCAAGGGCTCAGGGATAGACTCTAAGTAAAAGGAGAGGAGGAAAGCATGTCTTCCACCCAGGAAGCTCCTTCTCTTACATCAAGATCCCTCTAGAGGGAAATGAAGATTCAAGTGAATGAAGAGCCAAAGCAGTAAAGACAGAGTGATGCAGTGTAGTTACATCATTGACCTTGTAGCTGTTAATCAGGCGCTAACTGACTAACTGACATCCCTGAGAACTGTCAAAAGCCAAAAGCCAAGTCCAAGCATTTACCAGCACTGCTGGCAGCTAAGAGACCAAGGGAAGAGGCGAACCATCTCCTAAATTGGTACTTGACTAGGACTGGACTACACCGAGGAATCAGGGAATCTCAGCATCTCATACACACATTCCCACTCTGAAATACCGCCTCATCTCAGCATCCCCCTCATTCTCACCCCCAGTACTTGCCTACTACTGGGGGTCAGCAACAAACCTACAATGAAGAGACAGAAAATACCCAGAACATAACTGATTTCCTAAAAACTGCCAGAGCTAACATTTCCCATGAGTTTAAATTGAGTATTTCCCCAAATTTCCAGGCTCTGACTAATTTGAAGAAAAGGCAATTTTACAGATAACAGCAAGGCTTAGTTCTAGTTCTAAGAGAAATCTCTCTCAGCTTTTCAAAATGAGCTTCACCCAGTTTTAATCATTCAAAAGGGTTCCAGATATAAGTAACAGTCAGACCATCTGAATAGGATTTTTCTGTTAGAAACCTAACTGCACCATCCACCTGGAACACTAAGAACGCACTGAGTTCTAGTCAAGAATATAGCAAGTCTTAAGCAGGCTTTGTTCTGGGGTTGAGAGCACCTAATTTTAAAAGTGTTGTGAAGGTTAGGAATGAAGGATAGTACAGTGGGTAGGGTGCTTGCTTTGCATGTGGCTGACCCAGGTTCTATCCCCAGCATCCCATATGGTCCCCTGAGTCCTGCCAGGAGCAATCCCTAAGCACAGGGACATGAGTAAGCCCTGAGCACTTCCAGGTGTGGCCAAAAACAAACAAATAAACAAAAAGCGGTGGTGAAGATCTTTCAGGAAAGGGTTGAATTTAAAAAAAAAAAAAGTAAATTTGAAATGGATACAAGCTCTTCTGGGAGAATAAAGAGGTAGCTAAAACTGCCACTTTTAAGAGAACATTACTGAGGCCTCCATTAACTTGTTCCATAATATCCTTGGCATCTTAAACTTTCTGACCAAACACAGAATCAACATTCAGAATTCTGAAATTCTGAGAGCAGAGCTGCAGGACATGTGTGCATTTGGGGGAGCACTTGTGTTATATGAGGGGGAAATCTGACATGGTAGGTGACAGCAGGTCCCCAAACACTTCACTCTTGACCACAGAGGTTAGGCCAGCGGTGCCCTTCGAGGATCTGATTCCTGCTTCCACAAATGCCACTAGACAGAATATTTGGACATGAGGGAACCTCCCTCTATTTCCTGAAAAAGCCCCCAAGTCCACTTGACTCAGTCCTCATCTCATCAGTTGAACCTTGCAAATGGAAAGGGGGTTTTGCAATGGTGCTTTGAGAAGACAATGACGTCCACTTACCCTGATATTGGAAAGGAATAAGTCCAGAAGTCTGAAAGAGGATGGAGAGAGAGATAGAGACAGTGAGAGAGAGAGAAGAGGTATGCAAATAATGGGAACTAAGTCAGAAAAGCCGTCAGGAGAAAGAGCCTGGAAGGAAAGCACCAGGTTAGGAAGACAGAGGAGAGGAAAAGAATGAGTCAGTCAGTACAGGCCAGGAAAAGGGAGAATGTGGTGGACGGTGGGGGGTGAGAAGCTGAGACCAGAAGGGAGAAAGCCCAGGCTGGAGGACAGGGGGCTTCTGTGCAAGGATTTTTTTTGCAGGGGGATGGGGCTCCAGCTTCAGCCCTGCGTCTCCTATGAGAACACAAGGTACCATTTCAACTTCTGTGAATTGCAGCTGAGTGATGGGTGATCTCTCAGGAGGTGGTAAGGGAGCCCTGAACTCAGCTATACTTTCCAGAAGCCAGGAGACTTTAGAGACCAACCTAGAGACCCAGGCAAACAAATGAAATTCAAGACCAGGAAATCAACACAAGGAAAACAGCCCTGCCCACCCCTACCCTACCACAAGAGTGGCTTTGCAGCTGTGGTCTGCAGGAGGCCAGTCTTCAAATGCACATATGTTCTCCACCAAGCTGACTAGAACATATTCCACCAGGGTCCAGTCCAAACCCCAGTCTTAAGGAGAGATTCTCTGCTGAGTCAAACCCAGATTGAACTCCAGGATCCAGAAGGTCATTGAAATTCCTCCTAGTGGCACCAGAGAGGATGGATGGAAACATACACACACCAACAAGAACCAGGGAAACGGCAGGGATGAGCTCTCCTGTGTGAACTCTCACCAGCAGATAGGCACTTATGCCCATGGGCAGTGTGGGCCTCAGGTGGGACATAGTCAATCCAAACAGAGAGGCAGTTATACATTTAGGGACTCACACAGACAGTCCACTGCTCGCTCTCTGCAGTCTCAGTCTCTCCCTCTCACCTTCCCTGAGTCCCAGAGATCCCAGAACCAGCTCCAGCTTCACCTATGTGAACTTCCTATCAGTTCTTTTGTCTCTCTGCAAAGTGGGTGTGTGCCTAAAGGCTTCTACAAACTCAATTAGGAGAAGAGCTATTACACTAGTAACTATATCCAGGGGGAAGGGATGGTGGCATAATCATCTAGGGAGGGGTGCTGGAAAGATAGTACAGTGGATAGGCACTTGCTGTGTACCCAGCCTATCTGGGTTCAGTCCCCAGCATCCCTGAGCCCTCCAAGAGTGAGTGCAGAGCCAGTAGAAAGTCCTGGGCACTGCTGGGTGTGGTCAAGTTTCAGATTCCCCACAAATAAATAAAATATATATTTTTAAAGAAATGTCTAAAGAGGGGGGAAGGAGGTAATATTGCTGATAAAAAAGAAGAGCCTAGAAAAAGGGCTTGGAGCCAGGGTACTCAGGTACCCAATTCTTCACAATATCTGCCCGTGTTCCAACTCCACTTTTCCAGAGAAGCTGTGCTGCTGTCATTCCTAGACTGAACCGAACAGGACAAGAAAAGGGGGTGAAAAAGTGAAACTGATTCTAGGGCCCCTAACTATCTCTCAGGATATACCCTGGCCCCCACCCGCTATCTTAGGCAGCATACTGGTCCCCCAAAGGGGCCCTGCACTGTGCAAGCAAACAAGTGTTATGTGTTACAATCAAGGGCACATCCAGAGAAACCAACACTGGAAGCTGAGCTGTCTGGGGCCCAGCTTCCACTATGCTGCCCGGGAGACCGAGTAAGAGAGGAAGGAGAACTTCTGCAGGAGCAGGCAGATAAAGGCTGGGGCCACGGAGGGCCAAGGATGAGCAGTTAGCTACACAACACCTCAAAAAAGCTGCCTTCTCCACTGCCTTCTCCATGCTCATGCACTGCTGGGACTGAGGTTCCTCTCGAGGGGCTGGGGCATGACCTCTGGGCCGCTGGGCTCTGTGCAGAAGGAGGCAGTGTAGGTCTGTGGATTTCCACTGGCAAGGAGAGAAGTGCAGGGGCCTGCCCTGCTCCATTTTGTTCCCCCAGCTGCTCCTTGGCTGAGCTGAAGGCTTATCTACCTCTCGAGTACTGACCCCAACTCATTTGTTTTCTGGCTCACTCTGCAGGACCAGAAGCTCAGGGGGAAATCTCACTCTGAGTCTGCAGTGGGGATGGCTGCGGAGTGTGCTGGGGTCACCGCGGACTGGCAATCATTTTGGCACAGGTCCCAGTCTGGGAGGAATCGTTTGGGCTGGGACAGAATGAAGCAAGCAGCTTTCCTGCCTAATTCTCCCCATCTCTTTGGTGAATTATCTCCCTCTCTGACTCAGAGAATTGACACAAAGAGAAACTGACCTGCCTACAGCCAACCCAGGCAGCTGAGATCTTTCTCTGCCTACCAGGCCAACTCAGACCTCCGGATAGAAACGGACATAGGCGCCAGAGGAAGCCTGCTTTCTCTCCAGCCGGGTCTCAGCTGCCTTTGTTAAATAGAGGACCGCTGCGACTGGGAAAGCAGGACTCCGAGCCGTCTGGAAGGGAATCGGCATGGCCAGGGGAGGGAGAGCAGTGTGCTCCCAGCTCAGGAGTAACACCCTAACCCTCTGCCAGTGGGGACTCAGCTAGGCAACTGTCTGATGCCACCAAGCCTGGCACCTTGCAGGAACTCCCCGCTCTGCTCAAAAGAACACAACTCGTTCTAATTGGAATTTCCTGAACACCTCAAAATGTAATCTAGCGTCAACTCATCACCAGAGAAGCGCTCATCTCACAGGAGGCCCAGCTAATAACGGGTGAACTGGCAGACCCGGGACAGCCAGGCAGATGGGCCCGCCTCGCTGGTGCCCAAAATGACCCTTCCGGCATCCTACCCACGCTGTGTCTTTCAGAAGGCTTCGGGAAGCGGGTATCGTAACTAATTAGCTTCTTTATTTCCCCCACACACACTAGGGGAGAAGCCATCACGAGGCTGGCACCCCGCAGAGAAGACTTTTAGGGTCTCTGCATGATCTGGCTGCCTTCAGTGCAGAAACCGAGCAGAAAGGACCACGACTTCGTTGATTTTTCAAACCACTCTCCTCAACTCCAGCATACTCTCACGCTCTAGACCTGGTGTCCTGCCCTGGCTCTCTCCCTCTTCCTGCACACACAGAAAGCAATCCCTGTCCAGGCCCCCACCTTACCCCCTCGCTCAAGCCCTGCTCTTAATCAGAACCGCTGCTGAAATAGGCGCCATCGCTATCGGAGAATGAGGTGCGGGGCGCTGTCTTACACACTTCAGCTGACCTTTCCTACAACTTGGTGCCCTCCGCCTAGACCCGCCTGGAGCCACCTCGGCTCACAGTCAGGATTCTCCCCGCACAGGGCAGGTGCTGCCACCGGCTTCCCAGCAAGGTCACAGCTGGCCGACTGCACCGTGCGTTGCTGGAGGCGGGATTCCCGGTGGCAATGCGCGCCGGCCGGGAGGCCAGTCGCTAGGATTTTCTAACCTTCCCCGCCTTGCCTAGAAGCTGTGCACTTTGCAAAGTTGGCCGCACCGCTAACAGGAGCTCCCGCATCCTGTGTGACCACCGCGGCAGCCCCGAGGTCCGGCACCCCCAACCCCGTCCCGGCGGGAGAGTGAGAGAAGCGAGCTTGCCGCCTACTTACTATGCATGGATGCAAACGGGTCGTGCTTACAGTGTATTTCCATCGGGGCGCTCCAGACTGCAGGCCGGCCGCCGCCGCTGCCTCCCGGCGCCAAAGGGCTTCCCCGCGTGGCGTCGGGGGCCGCCAGGCCCCGGCCGCGAGCGAGCCGGGCTCAGAAGACACGGCGGGCGACTTCGGGGCTGGAGACCGCCGCCGGGAGCTGCCTCTAGAGGCGGGAAAGGGAGCTCGTGTGGCCGGGCTGCGAACGGGCGCGCAACTCCGCTGGCTGGTCCAGCCCTCTCCGGGGCGCGCTCAGGCTCAGGCGGCGGATCCCGAGCGGGCCGAGAGTCGCTGCGGCCCCAGCTCTTGCCGCTTCGGGGGCATCGCGCACCGGCTCGCGTCCGGGACGGCGAGGCGGCCCCGGCCTCGAGTGCGAGCAGCTGGCTGGAGGCGGGCGGGACGCGCGGCACTGGGGCTGGCCGCGGGCTCGGCGGCCCCGCTTCTCCCGCAGTCTCCGCTCGCGCGCCGGCTCGGCGCCCGATTCTGGCTCTCTCCGCCTTCCCGGCTCTCCGCGGCTCGCGCCCGCCGCCTCCGTGGCTCCGCTCTGCCTCTCCGACGTCTCGGGCCAAGTTGCCCAGAACTTCCTCTCGGGCCGCGCGGGGGCCAGGGCGGGTTCGGAGGCGCTTCCGCCCCGGACGCGGGGGGCCGAGGGCCGAGTCCCCCACACCCCACCCCCCTCTTGCCGAGCTGTCTACAGCAGCTCCTCTACCCCGGGGCCCGCTGCTTTCAAAGTTCCTGCGGCCCCCGAGGAGCCCCCATCGCGGGGACCACCAAGAACGGAGACCAACAGCGATGCGCTCCTCCTCGCCCGAGCGTCTGCCCGACGCCTACCAACACTCCGAGCCCCCGCCGCCCGGCTCTCCGAGGGGCTAGTTCGACTGTCTTTCGGGGCTTCTTCCGGGACGGCAGCCGCGCCTGCCCCGGGCGTGGAACGAGGGACAGAACAAGGAGCAGAAAGGTCCCCTCCGCCGAGGCCGCCGGGACCGCCGGTGCCGAGATGCAGGCGCTGCCGGCTGGGTCGGCCCGCGCTGCAGCCGCGATCACCGCGGGCGCTCGCCCTTCGCCTGCTCGGTGCGCACAGTGCGCCACCGCGCCGCCCCGAAGCCGCTTTCAGGACCTGCTGCGTGTGGACAGCGCCGCCCGGGGCTCAGCCTCCCTCCGGGCGGGGGCGGGGCGGAGGTTCACCTGCCAATCACGCCTCGCCAAGCCAATCAGAACGGTGGCAGTCGGCCCTGGCTCAAGGCACGTTCCTATTGGTTAAACTACCGGCGGGCTCCGCCTGATTAGCCGGTACCTGGGCAATGGGAGAGAATGGGAGGCGGGGCCCAGGCGGCGGCGCCACGTTCATTGACAAACGCGCGGGGCGAAGGCCTTGTGCTGCACGGATGGGGGAGGGGAAGACGGGACTGTACACAGTGTCCTGGAGAGTTCCGTAGCGGGTCCCAAGAGAGTCTGACCCTCGCGCCGGGGCGGTGGACCCTGGACGCCCTGAGGGATCGGAACCGGGAGAGAGGCCAGACTGGAGGAACAGTTGCCAGAAATTGACATAAATGGATAAAAATACATAAACATATAAAATACATAAATGGTTGTTGGAGGAAGCTAGGAGCGCTGTAAAAATACAGTTTTCAATCTAAGCAACATCAGACTAGCCATAGATTCCTAACGTGCACACATCTGCCCCTTGTGACCACCGTTTCCTCATCTGTAAAATGGACAGAATTGGTTTATCCAGTCACTAATGAAGGCTTTTCAGTATGACATTTCCCGACTTTATCAAGTGCCTATCAAGAATCTCCTTCCTCACTGGAATCCCGTGGGATCCAGGATTCTGAGCTAACCTTAGGTCTGGGTGTTGAGGAAAAGGGAAAAACCTGACACATTCCTTTTAGCTTAGTTACCAGGATTTTCCTAAGAGGATGTCTGAGGCTTTAGACCAGATTGCTCAAGAAATGAACACTGAGCTCCTCTTTTTAACCTAGGACCAGGAGCTGACAATTGCTCTGGGTACTTGGGAGACTGATGGTGAGTGCAACAGAAGGTTCCTGTCTGCAGAGGCAATTCCACATCTCGTGCAAGTCCTCCTGGGAACTGCATAAGTCCTGCAGCGTTGTCTGTCCAGTGTGAATCAAGGTCCCTGATGAGTGTGAGTGGGCTGACAGGTTCTATTTGTGAGAATGAAGCAAAGTCAGGGGCACTACCATACTGCACCTTTCAGCTATTCAAAAACCCAGTCTTCCCTGCCTAGGGCTGTTCTTGTTGCTCTTAAAACATAATAATTTATTCATTTATAACAAAACCCCTAAGACCAGAAAAGCACGATCTCTGACCACTGATCTCATGTCTTCTAAGCTATAAAGTCCTGAGACCAAAGAGGAGTGGAACCAGTTTCAGCAGCAGAGACATTAAAGATTCCTCTAACCCAGAAGCTCTGTGCAGTGATCCTAAGATCCACCATTTCAAACTCATTAGCAATGAATTTCCATTACTGAAGATAAATCCACCAAAACAAGTGCTCTAAGATGCCTGCACCAGATCTGGACTGGCAAGGAGGACAGAGTACAAAATAAACCTGGGAAGACTTCTGGGTTATTCACTGCCTCAGTCTCCCCTCTCTCTACCTCTTCCCCTTTTCTCATGCCTCCACCAGTGTGTCAGTGTGTCAGGGGACCACCTTCTGCTCCTGTCCCTGACGGGTAGACACATTTCCGGCGCTGACACATCTCCCCACCCCCTCCAGGACACAGCTGCACAGAAGGTCCCAGTGGCCCTCTGGGGACCCAGGACTGTTCACTGCAGGGGGGCGGGTGGGGGCAGGGGAGCTCACATTCTTGCTCCTTTGTCCTCAATTCTGCCTGTCTGCATCTTCGCTCTTCCTTGGAGCAGAGTGAGAAGATTTGCAACAGTGGAGGGGGTTGGAAAGACTTTTTTAGACCATTTCATTCTTGCTAGAGTAGGGTTCCACCTTGAGAAGTTGCAGTCCCAAGAGAGGGGATACGACTGGGGAGAGGGGAGAGTTTGAAGGATGCAACCAGATAGACTCCCATCTGCTATCCTTCCCAGATTCCAATGTCCTAGAGTTAAAGGGTTCCGAGGAAAGGTATTCCCCATTTTACAAGACTCAGAACCTGGAGACCTAGGTGGAGGGCGGGCTGGGTGTGGCCGGTGGGTGCTGCCTATCTAAAATCACAGTAAGTTTGTGGGTTAAAAAAGATTGTGGCTTGGGATTTCATAAGGCTCTCCCTAGAGTCATTGAGGGGGAGGTGCTGTGTTTTGTTCTGCTGTTTGGGAGCAAAGGGAGTAACCAGTCTGGACAAACCGCTGTTCTGTACAGCCTGGACAAGATTTTCCAAAGCACCAAAAGAACAGACTGGAACCGCAGAGGTGATCCACCAGGATGGACTCAGATTCCCATTTCACACTGAGGGTGCCTGGCTTTGGGAAGGTGTGAACAGTCTGGTCAGTCTGTCAAGACCCGTTTCACAACGGGATGCACAGGGCAAAGGAAGCTTCCACTGGGGGAAGGTTAGGGGTAATTCACTGCAGTGATCCCAAGGAGTCAACCTCTGGGAACACCTAGAGGAACCACCAGAGCCAATATCCTGGCATCTAATGGCGCCCCCAAGAAGTGACAAGACTAGCTTGAGATGATACAGGGAGGTCTGGGTGGAGCGGCCCCCTCCTGCCTCCCGGAGCTCAGAGAGCTGGACTGTGGGTCCAGGAGAGAAAGAAATGAGCAGGGAATGTGATCAAACAACGAGCCTTCACAACAGCACAGTCCCACTCCCCTGCCACTAAGCTTGGAGCTCTTCGCTCAGCGTGGCGGGAAGGAGACTGGGAAGGAAACCACGCATCAAGAAACTAAATTTCTGCTCACTGAGTCTGAAAGTTTCACTATTGAAAGAAAGGTCACTGAGAATGGGTTAGTGGTCCTCAGTCACAGCCTGGCTTTGCTCAGCGCACACTCCCTCCCACCTCCCCTTTCCTGGCCTTGAGACTGGCTGCTCCCTGCCTGGGTCGACAAAGGCTGAGGCAGCCCCAATTGCTTCCCCGCTCAGAGATGGACTCATCTACTCCTACTGTTGCGCACCCTCTGCTCTTGCTTAGAGTCAGGCCACGGTTACAGAGCTCAGATGGGTTGCTTAATTTCAGAAAGTTAGACTGACTTCACTGTCCTCAACCCAGGTCCATCATCAGTCAGGACTGTCCTCAGACAGGTCCTCTGGAACCCTGTGCTAAAAAGTATCCACAAGTCACAGAAGACCTTGGTAGTATAGTGAGGAGCAAAGCTACCTTCCAGAAAGACAGGTCAGCCAGCTGGTTGGAGACAGCCCCAGTTCTGCGTGGTGCCTGGATCAGGGTCTGCTCTATGGGGCCCAGCTTTGGATGAGTCCTTGAAGTGGGTGGGGTGGGGAGAGGCTGTTAATTTAACTGAAATGTTTCAAGGATTGTGTAAAATTTCATTGTCAGAGCTTGACACAATCCCCAGTGCATCCCAGGACAAACTTTCCCTCTCCGCAAGACACCGCATAGCATTTTCTTAGGGTTCAACCTCCGAAGTGCCTAATGGGGAAAGAGTGGCTAAAATGAGCCTCCCTCTCCCCTGTCATCACTACTTTAGAAAATAAAGATCTTTGGGTGGCAAGTATTGTTATCATTACACCCAAATCCATCCCAGAATTGAGGGGACGAGATGCCAGTATCCCATCAGAAAGGTCAACTTGTGGGTCTGATCCCAAATCTCCCTAAGCCCCAGGCAGTGAGTTGGCCCAACAATAGCATTTCTCCAAGGGAGAGACAGGGATGGGAGTCTCTCAGTCAGCAAGAATCCAAATACCAGGTAGGGAAGACTCATCCCATCCTACTTCTTACATCAGTCGTTAGTCATGGTCTCAGACAAACCCCTGCCCTTCTCTACGCCTCAGTTTCTCCCTTCTGTTATCGTGATGAAGAAACTAGATAAGGGGATTCACAAATAGCTCCCTGTTTAGAGATGATCTCACCCCAACTTAGCCTTAGAGCTAAAGGACATTCTCTTTCCTCACTGTCAAAATGGGGAAACTGAGGTAAAAAGAAAGACTGGAGAAAGGAAA